GTATCCGAAGGGATTTCCGCACGGAAAAAAAAGGGGGGTTACTGTACTTGAAATTATAAACGATTAGATTTATAGACAGACCTGAACAAAATATCATCATCACCAGCATATCACCGTCCACTGCTAAACGAAGGTCTAGTATCATACTAGTTATCAAAATCCGTTACACACAGTAAAATTTGCCACCACATTTTTTGGTAAACTGCCAAGCACTTATGTTGTTTATTATTCGAGTAACTACTGCACGAGATGAGTGGTCCTTTAGCGCGTAGTAGCTTAGTCTCCATTGTTGAAATATCTCAGGAATGAAATGACTCCTGGCAGAAAGCAAACGTTTTATTTGCGCGTGACCTTTTTAATTTGTCGTGCGTTGCCTCTTGGAGTTTTAAATTTAATGGTCAAGACAGTCATTCGTCATTTTAAAAGAATGTAATTTGAATTTCGAATCCTAAACCTTTTTAAAAAAGTAGATGGATAATGCTTAGAGCAACTAACTGCTAAGGATGAATGTGAACTAGTCATTAAGTAGATTATAAAAAAATATAATCTAATGACTTGTTGAAACTTGTAGATAAGTAGGTATTGTCCTAGACATAAATAATTTTATTATCATTATTGATAATAAAATTATTTATGTCTATTCTCAGGCTGGTCCGCCAAGCAGAAACAATAGCTGCAGTGACGTACCGAGGACACGATCACACGATCTCCTGATATTCAATTTTTTTTCAATTCAAATTATTTATTTCGGACTATTACATCCATATAGTGTTAGTAACAATGTGTTTTAAAAACTAGTGTTAGTATTGAATGATATTTATTCGAAATTATATTGTCAGTACCTATCTGATTATTATTTATTCAGGCCTTTTGGTTTAGTTTTTAATGACCCTGACTGATAAGCCGGAGGGGGAGGGGTTTCGATTCCCACCCAGAACATGAGTTGTGATGAGCACGATCATTAGTTCTGTGTCTGGGTGTAATTTATGTATAAAATGTATGTATTTATAAAAATTAAGTATGTTTATCTACAGTCTGGTTACCATAACACAGGCTCTGCCTAGTTTGGGATCAGACAGCCGTGTGTGAGATGTGTGAGGTTTTTATTATTCTTTTGAAATTACTCTCAAACTTATCCAGTATATGAATGCTTTTTTATTCCTCTTAATGTCAACATTTTTAAACTATAAATAACTTATTACAACTTTGTGACTGTTTAAAGATTTCCTTGAAAACAATTTGAGACGAAAACTGTATACATTGGCCGTGCCAAAAATAACCGACTGGTAGCTCGTAAAACTGTTATTTTGCTCCAGAGATGCAGTTTCATTACATTATACCAATAACATTCTAATTATATCGGTGAAGCTTAAATATGTATGAACGGGTAAAAATCTAAATATATATTCTGTTGGAATTTCAGGACACGTGTCATATTACATATTTGATTATGGAATTCGTTAATCATTCATTTGAATGAATGTAAAAGTAATGGTCAAATGACGGTGGAGTTGCGTTTAAGTAAAAAAAATGATGCCAAGATAAAAACAACCGTTTTATATGTACATATCCGTGTTTAACTGATTTACTGGTAAACTTTGCAAGTCCCATTCTAAATAAAAAAACTTAAAGTAAAAGCAGTTTAAACAAAAACTTATACCGTCTTATTATAAAAACTTTCATAAGTACCAGGTTTAAACCAGGACTAAAAGGTCTAAGCTTATTACGGTACTAACGTTAGTTCTTTCATTCTTATTACAAATCGTAGACCAACAAAGGACTACTTAGTACCAAAGATCGTCTCTGGACTAAACATTTTCCACAGATTATAAGCAACAAAATATTTAAATTATTCATTCATTCGTTCAGCGTTCTACGCGCCTTTCCTTTTTAACAAAATGTTGTTACGAAATATAAAGAAAAATATTTTATGAATTGTTATTTGTAGGGGTAAAATTTAAAGTTTTGTTAATTAAAGGTATTTAAATATTCCGACTTGTATTTTTTTGAATGCATGTTCACAATCCAATTATTAATGTTATGTTTTGGAACAACTACCGAGCTAGCACGTATGAGTATAACGGAGTGAACTGGACGGCGCGCGTAATTCGAGTAATGTAATCGAAATGTTTATGTTACAACTTAAACTAAAAAAATGTCCTCACTGTGGTTTCTCTTCAAGATTATAGTTACTACAAGTACCTAAGGGCACAATTCTTTGGGCACAGTATTCTTTGTGGTGAGCAAATCGCCGGAAAAAATCGTTCCGTAGAAGAGATAAAGTTGGCTTGGATGAGAATGAAGTTGGCAGCCAAGGCAAACTTGTCTCTTCACAGGAGAGAGCAGTCTAAAACAGGAGGTGGCAACAAGCCCCCGTCACCTTCTCCAGAGGACCTGGAAGTCATGGCTATTGCTCCTCATGACTTTGTTGTAGACGTGTGACTGTGACAGTGATGCAGTGGTAAGTAAAAGTTAACAATAGTGGAGAGTATAATATGATGACAATTTACTAAACATTTACCTGTTACAGATGACAAATATAACAACAACAAACAGTGGAAGACCCTGATGCTGGCCATAGCTCAATAGAACCAATTGTAGTGATTATAAGTGATGAAAATGTAGAGTCCAGTATTGAAGAAAGACAAGGTATAATAATTTCATAATAAGAAAAATACAGGTTAGTTTCATTAATATTATTTATTATTTTCAGTGATCTACACCAGTGAAACTGTGCAAACAAAAAGTAGTGTAGAAATAGAAGAAAATAAACCAAAAGGGAAAACCGCCTCCCTAAATAGGTTTGTTAAAATAAATGTGATAATACTGAATATATTTTATTTCAATCAAGGAACCACGAAAATATAAATAAAGCTTACCACACTAAAATAATAAGTCAAATTATTACATAATAATATAGAATTTATTTTACAGAAATGAAGAAGGGCGCCAAGCTATTATAAATAGTAATACAGAATTTAAAAAAAAACAGCTTGATATGTTGGAAGCCCAGCACTTCTATCAGGTTGAAATATCAAAATTAAAAAGCTACAGTTACAAATAGCACTATTGGAGACTCAGATAAAAACTAACACCATTACTAAGGAATAGATGCAACTGTCCCTTACCATGCCGTGGCAACTTGTAAGTAAGACAACACTCAGAAAATATTTGTAAAACATGTTTGTAAATTATGTATTAGTGTATGTTTTGTAAGTTGTCCTATATGAATAAATAAATAAGTTAAATAAGTATAAATTGTTCAGTCAAGAGTTTCAAATAAATAACTAATGTAATCTATCTCCTATTGATTAAATACTTCAAATATATTGACAATCACATAATAATATAACATAATTATTTTCAGGTTATATATTCCCCATAATAATCATTAGTATTATAGGACTGATTTTAGCATTTTCTTAAAGATAATAGTTACTTTTATTTATGTTTGATTTACTTTATGAAAAAAGGATCATTAGCTTTTATTTATACATTAAACATATACATACATGAATATCACAAAAAAGAAATATAGTTATATATATTAAATGTTATTTTATGACAAGTGAGTTTCAATAAACTGCCTTCTTCTAATATTCTCTCGTAGTGAATTTTGAACTGGCTGCACTGGTATTGAATCCCTAGAGGATTGCTCATTGTTGACATCATCAGGAAATAGGCATCTTAGTAGGCAGCGGAAACGTTGCTTCCACAGACCAAAGCATCTTTCCACAGTGTTCCGTGTATGGATATGGCTCCTGTTATACCTTTGTTCTGCTTCTGTTCTTGGGTTCAGCAGTGGGGTAAACAAGTATGGTGTACACGGATATCCACTGTCTCCTAAGAGGATGCCAGAAAACGCTCCAGATTCAAATCTTTGCTTCAAGCGACACTCCCTAAAGATTCTAGAATCATGGACACTGCCACGCCACCGAGCTACGATATCCGATATTCTAGTATATCCAACACATTCAAATCTTCCAAATCAAACATATCAATTGCATCAATATCAATTTTTTGGTTTCTGATCACAAATTCCTTTCCGAAAGCGAACCTCAAAATTAAGAATTTGACGTTTGACAATTTAGTACCATAGTTAAACTAGGGGTCACGATGGTCTAACTTTGATACCATAGATAGTTCTAGGACTAGCGATAAACTTCGTTTTGTAATAACGTTTATTCAAGGTCATGGTTTAAACCTAGTACTAAAGCCGGTACTTTTTTAAGTCCACGTTTTATAATAAGACGGATAGTGATCAATAATTAAGTCCAATAGGTATGTACATGAATTTGTAAAAAAAAACAAATGACAAAATCACCTTAAAATTAACACTTCTATAAAGTATTCATAATTAATTTACTTTATTGTAAAAACAGGACTTTCCGTCTCTCTTCTTATTCACATAGATTTTTTAAATCTTTTCTATGAATCAATCTTCAGCTTTATGTACTGCATTGACAAAGCAATGTTATCAAAATTGTTTTATTACATAAATTGTAATCTTTAAAATCCTCAAATTCAAGGTCCAGTTGATTGTGGATTTATATTTATTATTGAAGTTAGTAGTGAAATATTGCGCAGTGCCCCATAAAATCTATTGTTTTCTTATTAGGAAATGTGATAAGTAGTTTTTCAATCATTGCCATGGCATACACATGTAGTGTCAGCCCTTAATACATAAACGATTAATTCACCTCACTATAGATAAACCGCTCGTAGCGTAATAAGATTGCACCCGCCGCCCGCACCTCTCCCTATCCCCGTTGTCGTCCTACCTCCGCGCCCCTATACCTCAACTCAATTACGAGGTTTATCTATAATTTCTATATAGGTATAGAAATATAACCTCAAACATTTACTGAACGCAAACTCAAAGTTAATTAATCTTTATTATAAAAAATACATGAAATCAAATGCCCTTAGTGTCGGTATCAATATAATTTCTAGAACATTGTTATTTTTTTTTACAAAGTAAACATGAGTTACGTGTAGTCATGTTTACTTCACATATTTTGTTCATGCGGAGTAATTGGCCTATTTGGAACGCATTCATGTCGCCAGTGGCGTCTCCAAGGCCGTTGGTGATACGAGAAAAATAATCGAACTATCTTTCTATTTTGTTCGGTGTTCTCAGTCTCAAGAAAAAAGCATAGTTGCTTCGACATCTGACATCTTCCCTACTAATATCGCGCACGCTTATTGGTCAAATCTAATAACGCACGCTTTTCTGACTTCCTGTTACACATTTCCGTCCCTTTTTACTTAATGGATTTCAAGAAAGCTAGAGTAGAGATGTTACACATCAAAAATAATAATGTATATTTTAACTGAACATAAAACCTCTTTTATATACATTTTACTAATAAAGTTCCATTCCATCGCGTGGTTACAAGACATATTTTTCGAATTTGTTCCAAATTCAAATAATTGAAAACTGTTGTTTAATTTACTATTCGCGGCGGTGTTAATTTACAAAAGCATTTTACATGTCGTGATGGCGTGCTTAGCGAGTAACAATAAAATATAACTTTATTGTAGCTACCGCTTACCACTTTATTGTACTCACGAATGCTAATGAGATTGACGTGTTCCAGTTTTCTATTATTTCTTTATATAAAACCACGGACTGTTTTGTCGCACGCAAATGTTAACAATAGCATTGTAATACCAAGGGAAACAAGGCAGAAGTTTAAACTCCTTTCATCAAATGTCAAAGTAGTTAACTACTTTGACATTTGATGAAAGGAGTTTATCGTATAGCATGAAACGTCACTTCACTTAAAGCGAACGCCTCAACACTATTGCCTTGGTGACAGTTCACTGTAGTTTAATTCAACGTTTTGTAGTTTAATTTTGAAGTATTAGATCCTAACATTATTATTTTTTGTAAATCGGACAAACTATCCATAAGCGCAGGCCTGGGTGTGACAGGTGAGGCTATCTGTCACCCTATCGGAAGATGGCCGATTCATCGGCGTGACTTTAGGTTGTAGAACGGGAACACCGTGGTTCTCACACACGAGGGGGTCATCTACATACCGTAGATGGCCCAGAGTACGTCCGGGTACCACGGATTTCCTTCCTAGGGTACACCTGGTTCCCAGGTTACTGGTACGGCGGCCTGAGACGACGTGCGTATGATATACACAAAGTATGTTTATATTATATATACCTAGTTATATTAGCAATGTATCCCAACCCAAACTCACCTTTCTTGTAAACGGGGCCAATATATGTAGATACTTATATACCGAGGTGTCGGTAACGGTAACAGCGTCGTGAGTTCAATGGTGTTTCCCATCTCAAAAAATACATTCTTTTGTTTGTTGTTCAAAAATAACCAACGCGCCTAAAGAAGTACACACAAAGACACTTGATGGTAAGTGATTACCTAAGATCACTCATTCGGTGAAAAGCAACAAAAGAATTGCTAAACACCGGTTGTCTGTAGTTATCAGACGCTCAAGTGTAAGTTTATTTAACACTAGCTGACCCGCGCAACTTCCTCTGCGTCTCATTCTTCATTTGAAACATTCTTCATTGGTGCTCCGCTCCTATTGGTCTTAGCGTGATGATATATAGCCTATAGCCTTTCTCGATAAATGGGCTATCTAACACTGAAAAAATTTTTCAAATCGGACCAGTAGTTCCTGAGATTAGCGCGTTCAAACAAACAAACAAACAAACTCTTCAGCTTTATAATATTAGTAGAGATCTACTCGACCGTCACGGTGACCGCGTCCGGCGTTGCTATTGGCCCTCACAGAAATCTCCACCAATCACAACGCGCAACGCGCTCGCTCTCGCGAGCGAAATAAACTATAAATAAAATATAATAAATGTGAAATAAACTCGCACTCAGCCCTCAGATGTAAGGCTCTGTCTAATGTAGGACCCTTATAACATGTGACAAAACATTATCACCGTTATTTTGTGATGAAGATTTTGTTCACATCAGGAGCTTTTCTTTCTTTGATTCGGTATAGTTCAAAATGTTAGGTTTTTAACCGACTTCAAAAGGAGGAGGTTATCAATTCGGATGTTTATATTTGTTAATATATGTTCCGGCAAAACTCCGTCATATATAGACGGATTTTCAAAATTCTTTATTTTGTTCGAAAGTGGTTTATTCCGAAATGGTCCCATTTAAATTTCAAATAGATCTGATGATAAGTTTCGGCGATAGACAACGGAACTCTTCAAAAAACTACAGTAAATCAACCGCGATTGCTGCTTGGTTTTAGTGCTCTTTGTTAGTATTGTTTGAAGTCGGTTCAACTTTTTTAAAACTATTTATTGAATAAGCTCACTTATTCATTCACGATATGGTTCCAGCTCAAGTATTACATTATATATGTAATATCGTACAACAATGATATCAATATAGCGTATAAAACACTTTGACGACATCAATGTCGTGTATAAAAGATTGCTAAGCGTTTATTACAAAAATTTATTCACCTATGTTTTCTTCAATAGTACTTATTGTCTTCAGGTAAGCGATATCAGTGGCTGCGGCTACCATCTAGCGACAATGCTGGGTCTTCTGCCAGCGCAGGTCATCAACGTCTACCTCGGTTCTACACTGCGGTCCATGCACGACGTACTCCACGAGTCGCACGTGACTGGATACATTGTCTTCGCCTTTCAGGTAATAATTTTTTTTTTGCTAAAAGACTACTGCACTAGGAATATATCCTGTGTCGCAGGTGACACAAAGAACACCCAGACTCAAAACAACAATTTGTTGATAACACAAATTGTGGTCCCATGTAGGGATCGAACCTACAACACTCAGCACAGTAAAATGTGGTGAGGTGATCGCTTAAACAACTACGACATCCGTGCAGCCGCAATTTCACGATTGTCGTGTCTACTCGTAGCATGATTAGCTTTTTGGGTTGGCTTAAAGAGAAGTGCCCACCTTTAACGTCCTTAATGACTTCATACTTACGCAAACACAGCACGCATAATATTTCGGACGTTGACATACAACGCCATCTAGTTTCAAACTAAGCAGAGCTTGTACTATGAAAGCTAGATTGACTGATAGAATACTTACATACTTTTTTTGTAAATACATACATATTATACATAGAAAACAAATATTTGTAGATCATACAAACATTTGGTCCGGGAATCGAAACCGAGACCTCAGCACAGCAGTCGCATACTCTACCACTGCACCAACGATACAGTTAAATGCAATAAACCTTCGCATTTATGCTATTACTTAGACTTATCATTTTCCTTTTACAGAGAGAAAGTATTTAATCCATGAGAGATAGATATTCAAACAGTTAGGTATACGTCCTTCTTATGTCATTACCATATTTATTTAACACTGGTTTACACCTTAAATTCCTCTCTAAAACTCATTCTGTCTATCCCTCGGAAACACTACTTTTTTCTGGAACAAACACGCTGTCCTTTTCTAACCCTTGTTAAGGTGTAGGAAAACTTCACGATAATCGATTCAGTAGTTAACACGGGCAACAAACACACTTTATAATGCGAGTTAAGATTATCCTTGATATGTCGTGAGTCAGGTCTCGGTGGGGTGACCTTAAGTAACGAGTACACACGTGACTTTTATACATCTAAAGAAACAAGGCGGGAGGTCAAGGAATATATATCTATAGAGACTACTTCCGGAATAAAGAAGTTTAACTCATGGGTAATCAAATGCCTATTATTGAAAGGATAACGGTGAGTCTATGAATTCATAGCAACTAGCAGTACGTTCTATAAACGGTAAACCTTCGTGTGGTGTGGTGTCGGAATAAGAATACGGATTGTCACCACCCCTATTCATCCCGTGGGTGTCGTAAGAGCCGACTAAGGGAGCAAACTACGCAGGACAATAGCACTGTAAAGAGAAGGAAAACTTGAAACAAACCCTATACCAACCCGTCTGGCCAGTGTAGTATAGTAGGCCAAAACCTCTCTTCTAAAGAGAGACCTATGTCCAGCAGTGGACTATTAAAAGCTGTTGATGATTGATGACTGATGGTAAAAATTGGTGGAATTCACGAGATTAATGTAAAGTTTTCTGGTGAATGTACAGTTTAAGACTGTTTTAACCACTCAAACTTACAGCGTTTTCCGAGATAAAGATAGCTAAAAAAAGAACAAAATGTATAGAAGTCTTATAAGTGCTCCGGCCAAGTAAGATTGGCGACGATAAATATGATTATACATACGCAAGCAAAATAAAAATAGTTTATCAAGTTTTTATTCAGCGAGATTCAGACAGCTATCAGTTATGTATTTGATTTCAAGGCCCCCAGCAGGTTTTAGTCCTAAGGCTCGGTCCACACTTGCTCTTATAGAAAAATGAACGAGAACATATAAAATCACCATCATCATCATCACCACTGGTCTTTAATAGTCCACTGTTTTACATAGGCCTCTCCTTAGAAAGGAGGTTTTGGCCTACTATACCATGCTGGTCAGTAGACATGGAAATTGTTGCTACTTAGATATCATAATCATATGATGAAATGATTGGTTTTATTCACTCCTTTTTCTCCTGTGATTCTAATTTGATGGTTTTATTCCATCCCTGCTGGCCAGACATGTTGGTATAGGATTTGTGTCAAGTTTTCCTTCTCTTTGCAGTGCTATTTTCCTCCGTAGTTTGCTCCCTTAATGGACTCTTACGACACCAACGACGACTCCGTGTCATGGAATATGAATATTTTAAATTTATTTCTCAGGATGCTATTCGTGTAAAGTAATAAAATATTTACGGGTTTTCGGTAATAAAATTGCAGCGCTAAGAGGACACAATCGATGTTAATCAATTCTTTGTTCTTGAGGTTATCGGAGGACTAACAACCCCCTTCCTCCATTCCTCCTTCTAGTTCTCTGGGCTCATTCAAAGTTTTACATAATTTTGAACTTCATACGCTATTGTTTAAAAAGCTTTCTTCACTTTGACATTGAAACATCAAGTACTCTAAATATTATAACTATGATTAAGTGCTCTATATTTGATTAAACAATAATTTAAAAAATCAAAAACCTGACTGCAAAAAGACCGAAACATGGCCTATTTTTACGCTATATTTTTTTTAAACCAGTTTATTATTCCTTATTCAATTTAAATACATAACTTATAAATGTGGTTTGTGTAACGAACTGCTATTCCAAAGGTTCGATTCCCGCTCAAGTTAAACATTTGTGTGCATGAACATTTAATGTTTGATTTGGTATGGGTGTTTCTATGTGTAATAAGTATGTATTTACAAAAAAAGTATAAATGTATTTATATCAGTTGTCTAGTAGCCATAGTACATGCTCTATTGGTTTGGGACTAGATGGCGTTGTGTGAATGTGGTAGAATATTATATAATTTTTATAATTTTCTTGATTTTGATACCGTACTCGATAGGTAGGTAGGTATTTTTTTTTATTAACCTATCACTATTTTGCGCCATAAATCCACCATTTTGCTTTTTCTTTCAAAAAGAAAACTTGAGTCTTTGAGACGGCTAAAACAATACCTTAACTGGCGAAATCCATCTAGCCATTCGGGACATACTAAGGGAGGTAATAAAGAATTTTACAAACAAACATACAAGATACGCACGAAAAAACATAACCCTCCCTTGGCAATCGGGTAAAAATGGATTGCAAAGAATTTCCTTCACGTAAAATATATAAAAAAGTACCACAATAACATATATTATTTATCAATGTTAATTTATTAATCGCTATAAATGCCACACCACTGGTAGTATTTAAATATTTTACCTTATCGATACCGATATTGTTCGTTACAATTGTATCTGTACAAATTCTTCTGTTTTGATTATATTATATGTTTAGATAATATGTTTCGAGTGAAAAATTGGTTTATCTTGACTACTATGGCCGAGTCTACGTATTTTGTTATCTTGTATGTTATAATAGCGACCCGTCAAGGCTTTTCACGGGTGTAATTTAAAAGAACCACAATTCTGAAGTACATTCTTTTAAGTATCTTTCAGGTTTCAACCTTCTTAAACCTTTTAAAATTATTTTCCGGTGACTTGGTTGTTAAATATTTTTCTTTTTACGTACTTTATATATACATAATGTACATGAAAAAATATCTAATTGTGAAAACCGCATCTTAATTCGTTGTGTAGTTTAGAAAGAGTTAGAGAATATACAGACATATGCGTAAAGCGACCTTGTTTTATGCTATGTTAAGACTCATAGAACAACACGGCTCGCCGATGGCCTGTGTTGCCCTTATAGTAAAGACTAGATGTTGCACTTATCATAAAATAAATCTAAATCCTAGACTTTTATTTTATCTTTACCACGTTCAGACACAGTCAGAAAAAGAACAATGAGGTTTACCATGATGTTTAAAATCTATAAGTGTCTTAATCAATTGTTTTTTTTTTTCTTCGAGACCACGAAACCCAATATAAACAAAAACTGACTAAGAAATATACTTCTTTCCTTATGATGTAATAACTTGACTCAACTCACACTCGGTAGTCTGATCCCAAACTAGGCAAAAGAAAGTCTCTGGATATGGCCACTTACAATAAAATAATGAAAAAACAATTAAGGAATTTCGAAAATGGAACTCTTTTTGAATATGTTATTTCTTAATTTGCGAGACTGTCATTTGTTTTTCATTGTGACGTCCTTTTCTGTGTCGCTATCAAAGTGAATTTAACTCGTGAACATTTTCGTTCAACGATTTTTTATGATTTTCGTTGTGGCTTAAGTCAACAAGAGAGTTACCAGAGACTTCAATTGGCATTTGGTGATGAAGCACCAATTCGCAGCTCTATGTATTCGTGGTTTGGAGAATTTAGGTAAATAAAGGTCGGCCGGTGACTGCGGTTACATACTCTAATATTGACACCGTACGATAACTTATTGAAACTGACAAAAAAATTACTAAAACCTTTTACATGTGTACCTGAAGGTTCGGAAGCTTTACAGTCGATACCGTCGAATACCGCATGACTAAACGGAGGACCAGAAACGACTATGTCTCCAATGGTGCCGTAAAATGATAAAAACGTTTAACGGAGGACAGTCATTGGCTGTCTATAATATCGTAACAGGTAACGAAACCTGGGTGTACTGCTTTGAACCCAAAAGGAAAAGCCAGTCGGCAAATTGGGTCTTTCCTTTTGAAGATTTGCCGACGAAAGTTAAGAAAAGTCGAAGCATTGGTAAAAAAATGGTTGCTTCTATTGTTGGTAAATCAGAATCTAAATCAGACACTACAGTATCGCTTGAAGATCAAAGTACAATGACTACAGATTGAGAGCCTTAAAAAAGTTCGCGAGAAGCGTCCTCGAAGCAATGTCCTCCTTTACCACGATAACGCATCCTCACATTCCTCTAAGGTAACAGAAGTCTATATGAAGGCTTCAGATGTGGAACTGATGACACATCCACCTTACAACCTGGACCTCGCACCCTGCGACTTCTTATTGTTTCCAAAAATTAAAAAAAAACTTAGAGGCACACGTTTTATGAGCCCTGAATCGGCGGTGAATGCATTCCATGAAGCCATTGAAGAGGTCCCTAAGGGAGACTGGTCAAACTGCTTTGTATAGTGGTTTCAGCGAATGCAAAAATGCAGTAATTGCGAGGAATGATACTTAGAAAAACAATAAAAGTATTGTAAGT